GTCGATGTTGTATTCCAGTTGACACCGGAGACAGCGTTCGCATAAATGCAGACAGTCGATGGACGTAGTCTGATTTACCGAAATTAGGTCTGCTCCGTGGTGTGAAGAATTTGTAGTGGCATTGGACAATAGCCACACAATCCACAAAGCTGTGAACACGAGACTACTCAGAAAATAGATATTCAATATTTAACGCGGAGAAATACCTAAGAATGGAGAAGGCGCGAACAATGAATTGAATGGACTGGAGTTGATCGGATGGCATGGCTCGACCATGCAGGCGTGGTTCATCTGAATGTTACCTTATATCTTCTATTCATATTAAATATATTGTTCCTTCTCTAGCCTAACCTTGTTCTACATCATGTATTGGTAATTGATACGATACAGTGAGTTGGTGTAGTCGATGATGTGACTTCCACGTAAGATCTTATAGATTAGGCAGTTATATCATGACAAATCTACAAATTTAGGATTAGGTCTATTATTAGAGCAGTACTAATATCATAGTAGACCATAGTTCTACATTGGTGAGCCCAACTAAAGAAACGCAACCTATTATATTAGGATTAACAATATATTGTTAATCCTTATTTCCACTTAAACTTTCTCGATCGATTTTATATATATGTTAACCCAGTATTCTAATAGTCCTCTGATTAATGCTCACATGCGTTATCGTAATGTTATATTGATTACTTCTCATAACATACTAGGTCAATCGATAGTAAAAACTGGTCGTCTAAATTAACTAATTAGCTTTGATGGTTCGTTAACAAGCTTTAATAGCATTTACATGCTTCAGCGACATAGTCTTGTTTAAACATCAAGCTCTAGCAAATACGACATGCAAATAACGTAAATATACATTGACTAACAACGTAAGCAAGGACTAAGTAGTTATCTGGATCTAATTCTTAGTGCTCCTTCACTTAACACCTCATCCTGTTTTAAACTATGCACTATCCTGTAATATCTTTTCTTCCGACCACTGCCTGCCTAATTTCATATTCTCGAGTTCCATTGCCAAACAACAAGGATGACACTTCTAAAACATACGGTGAGTTTCAGCTATAAGTTTTCTGCAATCATAAGGTCATTTTAGATGGCTCGTTCAATGGCAACCACACAATTATCTGGATTCATTCAGTTGTTCTGATCCGAGCGAGTCGCAAAAACCTCAACAGCATCAAGCACCCTGGAATTGATTGCCATACTGCATGTTTTATTCTGGATACTTTTGGATCATTACTACTCCTCACGAATGGCGTTATATATGTCGTCCACTGAATAATCTAATTTTCAAAAATAATCCAGGCGAGTTCAACTATTTTACTTAATGATTTTTGTACTTAACATGTATATATTTTCCAGTTACTTCTGCCACATATTTGTAATTGTCCCTAGGCTAAATGCAGTAACTTTTGGAAAATTTATAATTCATCATATTCCTGCCTGAAGTTTCACAAGCAGTCTTAACTTTAAAATTATTTTCTGGTCATGTTCATTATTTTTAAATTGTCATATACGTCAACAACCTGCATGTTAACCTGGCCCATACATACGTTACACTATATCTTCATGTCTTCTAAATTTAGAAATCATCTGAATCGCCTTTAACATTTATCAATAAACCCATCATAGTCGTTGTTGCTAATCGTATTTGGGTTTATGGATTGGTTTATCATATTAGCAGCCTAAAATGCGAACATAGTTTAGATAATAAGATTAAAAATTTAGGTACTATCAACTGCACTAGTAAAATAACTAAATCCCTAGGTAGCTGTTGGCTAAACAAACGTTTAAAATCAAAACTCCGTAGCCTACTAGAATTAACACTAAACGAATATTTCTGAATTAAAATTTATAATTAAATTAGGCGTCTCGGATTCTTTAACGTTATAAATTTCTGATAATTTCGAATCACCTAAAGCAACAATACCTATTTTTCCACTGACTAATCCTCATCAACACTATAACTAGTTAAACATAATAGTTTCAGGATATCGTCATAAAGCATTGTCATGACTTGACAATCACGTAATATGATTGATAAAATTAATGAAACTATTAACAAAATCGGTCAGCAAATTGACTTATAATTATCACTAGTGTTGTTTTTCTTTTATCTTCATTCACTACAGATGATTACAGTATGTTTCTCTATCAGTTGCTCATTCAGTAAATATCTCAAAACCTTGTCAGTCTAATTGATGGTTTAGCGACACAATCATGCATGCAAATAATCAGTATAAGCAGTCGAGCAAATCTCCTGCAAACTGAAAACATCAATGTCGAATTTACCCCAACACTGACTAAGGTTCAAGCCATTATCATAGACATGAGTTGGGAGTGTACTCCCCTTGGTTACAACTTATGTTCTCCCTGATAATCACATGAGCATCACTCACTATTAATCATCTTGTAAAAACTTATTTAGCCAAATACATCTTGCAGCACCACATCACCTAGTAATGTGACACATAACTGATTTCAATAACTTATAACCACTATATCTCAATTAAATCGTATTCCGCCTTATGATAAACTGCATACTTGCAACTAACTTGTATGCATCATCAGCCGTCAGGTATAAATATGTATAAATAGTCTATGGCAACTCAGAACATTGAGTCTAGAGCATGTCTCTTACGAATACACTCATGTTTAACGATTTGTTCCTAGCTATCTGTCCAAAATTCATATAATTATCACTCACGTATTTAAATTTTGTTTTGATAACCATTCATGTGTATTAGTAGTATTACTAAATTCTATCACGGTCAAGTAAAAATGAGGTTGAGAAAATCTCCCCGTAACTAAATAAACCGTATCAAACTAACTGGAACACTAGTTGGAATTCTTCTCCACGGTATACTTTTGTTCCTTCAGTTAGCCTACTAATACAGATGCAATTGGAATTCAACTCATATGGACAACTTACCGGCATAATCGTTATTTGATTTCATAATTTAAACCAAAACTAATACCAATATTAACATTTCTACAATATTCATTACTTTAATATTTCTAAACACAAAATACTTACTACCTATACGTTAAGTTATTAACCAACGGCTATTAACACGCATCGTTTTATTATATTATTATTGTAACCCCATTTTTTATAGCTCAAATAATCTTCACCCAAATTTTCATTTCAAGCGTTTTAAGCATGAAGGCAGATATTTTAAAATTATTACATGTATTTCCCGACCAGATGCTGCCGCTTCTTTTTGATTTATCTTTCAGCTTACCAATACCCGGAGGATTCTTATTATCCTTGGTAACCTCCGGCGCGCGACGATCCCATCCAATTTGGTATCGAACCAACATCACGTTGATTCTGGTGGGAGAGTAGTGTAGTGGCATTGGACAATAGCCACACAATCCACAAAGCTGTGAACACGAGACTACTCAGAAAATAGATATTCAATATTTAACGCGGAGAAATACCTAACAATGGAGAAGGCGCGAACAATGAATTGAATGGACTGGAGTTGATCGATGGCATGGCTCGGCCATGCAGGCGTGGTCCATCTGAATGTTACTTATATCTTCTATTCATATTAAATATATTGTTCTTTCTCTAGCCTAACCTTGTTCTACATCATGTATTGGTAATTGATACGATACAGTGAGTTGGTGTAGTCGATGGTGTGACTTCCACGTAAGATCTTATAGATTAGGCAGTTATATCATGACAAATCTACAAATTTAGGATTAGGTCTATTATTAGAGCAGTACTAATATCATAGTAGACCATAATTCTACAAATTCTCCGGGCAGACGCAATGTCGTGCCGTATACAAGTTCAGCGGCGGAACATTGATATCTGCCTTTAAGCTCGTTCTGATCCCTAAAAGAACGAGCGGTAAGGTTTCTTGCCAGTTGCCGTTTTCGTGTGCTCGTAGAGCATTTTAAGTTGGTAGTGAAACCGTTTACTTAACCATTTGGTGCTGGGTGGTAGACGGATATGCTTATGCGTATGCATTCCGTACCAAGCAGCCGGGTCAGCGAGGAGAATAGTTAATAGGGGAAAATTTCTCGAATAAAGCGTGGAATTTATCGTCACGCGAATAAAAAGTAACAAGGATTCGGTACACGTACATGTGAGTCTATTATAATAATACTATTCTTATCGTTATGCGTCATGTCGCGTATATTATACATTAAAAAATATGAAATATACGACAGACGTGAATAGATAAATCATAGACTCACCGAATTGGCTTCGTTGGAAGATTTGACCAGATGTTGAGGCGTGTTCCGAAATACGGCTCACCAATCGTAGCGTGGCGTCGAGTTGAGATTAACTATGAACACCGCTACCCAGAAACACGTGCCAGATAAATCAGAAGGCGAAGGTTGGACGTAACCAAATAAATCCATAAAATCCCCGAGAAGCCAAATATCAGAAGACAGTTAATGGACCAAATCGAGATATATATTTGCTGGCAATCTCGTGGCATCGAAAGGATACCGAGATCGTGCCAGAATACAAGCTTGGTTACAGAACGTAACCGAATTCGCGCGAAGTTACAATCAAAGTGAGTGTAAAAGAATGGAAGCAAAATATAGCTGTCATTAGCACAGTCAAACAAAAGCACGTTAAAATAAACACTGGTACAGTTGGTTATAATAATAATTGTTTTTATTAAACCAGTCATGTTCTCGTGATAAACGTGAGTCACCACAATGCTTAAACGAGCTAATCACAAGGATATTAGATCTATTGTTATGCAAATTTTTTCATTCTTCAGTTTCTGAAACTCACACTTTTTTGGATTTTGAAATTCCTTCTGCCTATCTAGAAGCAGATCTCAATGAACAAATTGTTTATCGACTGAAATTGACATTGACAATTGACGTTCGGTTTTCATATCTGTGCTTTACTTAAGCTTTTGTGAAGGTTAGTTTCTGGTACATGGAGATTCGACTATTCTACTTCTAGGCAAATGTCGCTTTTGTTTATAGGAATGTTATTATAATTTACTCTGCAACATTAGGAAACCTGGGAATTAGGTGATTCCTGATAGAGTCGTGAGTTTATGCATAAATGCACACCTTCAGGTAAGCCCATATTAAAAGAAAGCAGTTATCCAGTGCCTCCTGGATTTCAGTGGTCTTATGACTGAAATCACTCCTCCATGTATAACTACGAAGCTCAAAAATGTCCAGAACCTATAGATAGTTTAATATCAATGGCCACAATGGTACTTATGTTTATTGTCGTTTGGATACCGTTAAGATTCATGTTTAAGTTAAGCGAGAGGTGTAATTTGATTAAGAGCACTAATGGAAATCTTCACGGGTCTCATAGGATCTCCATCCTGGCTGTTAAACATCATTCGTTTCCAAAGCCATGCTGTCCATTTATTTATTTGAGCACATAGATATTGGTACAAAGGGGCACCGAATACATATGCACTACACACGTCATTCGATTTGTGTGAGGAGTGGGATACTGCTGTACATGCTAAAAATGTATGATATATTGGAGTGTTGTGTAAAGAGGAATCAAGTGATTTTGCAGAGCGAGATATGCATTATAAAATTATGCTTAAATCGAGACTTAGGGGGAAGTAAGGATTGGATTTATATCGGTTACTGTGGTCCACACTGGACCATAATGTTTTAAACTACTTATCACGGTTGTCTCCAACCCTTATTTAAATGCATAAAAATTTGTATAATGGGGCACCAAAACATTTATGCCTTATACAAACTAATGAATTTGTGTATGGACTAGGATGCTGTCCGGGTGCTCAAACTAAGGCGTTTTTTTTGGACGGCCACTCACATGCGAATAGTTATCGAAAAACATCTGTGATGGGATAACTAAAGTTTGTTTATACGTTCCACTTTCATAGACGATAGACCACACTTACAGGAATGCAGAAATTCTTTGCATCGTGTCCAATGTTTGATCATTCAGACTTGTGCACCGAGATACAGGTGATGCAATTTAATGAAACCCAATTGAATCATTTATATTTTTTCTATGGTTTTACCAGACTTTCATACATGCTCTCATGGATTGAAGTTGAAATATATTTGATATTCAAATGTATTTAGATAATTAAAGCCTGCTTCGGTTCGGGCACCCGGGTAGTATCCCAGCCCTCACACAAATCGAATGATTTATGTGGCTTAGATCTATTTGGTGTCTCCTTGTACCAATGTTTATGTGTTTAAGTAAAATAAATAAAACCAACATCGGCTGGCATTGAAAATTACTTGTGTGGTCAGTTTATTTGATCCCAGGGTCAGAAAACAAATTTTTTATTACTGTGAGTATTAGTACTAGCTAAAAACAAGTTTACTTCATGAAGTTGTTACTATAAACAATCATTATTATCTTTTTGTTGCTCTGAAATTCAAGTTTTGTATATTTCATAGTTCATTTGGGTTATAAACCTAACTACTGAAGTTATTACTTTTGAAGACTTTCATTTACGTTTTTATTTTTCATTGGATTTTTAAAAGTTGGGGATGCCGTATGCCAATCAACCTATCGTCACATTAACAAGCTTTAACAATGAAAACATAAAGTTTATACTGGAAGAGACTGATTTAAGTGTAGCCAATGCTATTCGGCGTGTTTGTATTGCTGAAGTCCCTACTCTTGCAATAGATTGGGTACAGATTGAAGACAATAATACAATGCTAAATGATGAATTCATTGCTCAACGTGTTGGGTTAATTCCACTGACATGTGATAATGTAGTTGATAAAATGACTTATTTCCGAGAATGTCCTTGCCGCGAATTCTGTGAACAATGTTCCGTTGAACTTACATTGGATGTATGTTGTACTACGGATGCACCAAGACATGTTACAGGAGCAGATCTCATCAGCAGTAACCGTGATGTACAACCTGTACCATCAAGAGATGCTGATGACTCGTCATACGTCGGTCAGGTTAGCTCATATTTTCTTGATATATGTCGTGTGTAATCTGATAAGGCGTATGCTATCTTTTAAGATTTTGTTTTATCAGAACTAAACTAGGATTTATTTGTCCATTTTATTTACTTACATCAAAAGTTTGTAAACTGTATATAATTCTGTTGAAACGTGAATTTCTGGTTAGTTCACTCTATTAACTTACTTTCTCTGTGAGATTTTCAGGAATCCATACTGAATTGTTAAAATGCGCAAGGGGCAACGCCTGAAACTAAGAGCGATCGCAAAAAAAGGTTTTGGTAAAGAACATGCAAAATGGAATCCAACTGCTGGTGTAGGGTTTGAATACGACCCAGATAATGCCTTAAGACACACATTTTTACATAAACCCGAAGAATGGCCACGTTCGGAATATTCAACTTTACCGGAAAATGAACATCAGGCACCCTATGATCCAACTGGAAAGGTAAGATACTTTTTCAAGATTTAACGCCTTAATTATTTGTATGTATAACAGTCACACAATCTACTGATGAGTAGTCTAAGGCTTTCGATACCATCCATTGGAATACTTGTTCAAACCTACTTCAACCTGTATAGTCTATGTAAGGAGCATAAATTAAGCCTAACAGTCAAGTCTTGGTTTCATTAGGGAATGAATAACCTATAAAATCGATACTACCTATCGCTCATTGGTGAAACAGAAGTTAGCTTCGTTTATCTTTTCATACGATACTTAGTAGTATGACTGGTTTTGAGTAGTTTGTTCCCAGAACACTATTTACTAAGAACGTCCTTCTTGCAGGTTCCGTTTTTTATTTTTGACTGCTATCCTAACTTATTAACTTCAACTGGACTTAGCTGTGTCGGAACAGTAAAGTCATTTTTAAAGATGAGACCTCATGATGTGTTTTGGCGACACCGGAACTTCAAATTAGTCTAGTTGTGGCACCCAAAACACTTTCGTTAATCATACAACAACATATTCTATGGTGTAACAGACGACCATCTTTAACTTGAATTAGGTTAACAGAAACGTATATTGAAAATGTTTCGTTATCATAAATTGCAATTTAACAATTATCTTTACATACGTTTGTACGGAACCAAGGCTATCAAGTACGTCGTTCATTAAATATTAGTAGGTCTGTGTTACGTTCCCCAGACAGAAAGTTATGTGTGAGTTCAAAACACTCAAGTTTTTCTTAGGAGATACAGTTGTGTCACTCAAGAAAGCCATTAAGTAGATGTAAAGTAAGGAGTAGGAGTCTTTTGTGATTTTCATCTCAAGCTGCTTATGTTTACCAGTTGAATTGCAGTCGTATTCAAGAAGCATGTGTAACGTGAATGTCTACAGGTTATTAAACGACCGGATGATCTTTAACTGAAATATATGACCGGATTTTCTTCTATTCATGACTTGATGACATGCTTTCTAAAATGAAGTATATTCAATGGCTGTCATGTGGTTCATAAAGTTACTGGTTAAAAGTAGTTCACGTTGGATGTTTGAGTTCCGAGTACTTGTCAAAACCGATTCAAATTATGTTCGAAATAATGGGGACACGTGTCAATCACCAGTCACATCAATGTGCTATGATGATATAATAGCAGTGGGTTGGAAAAGATTATGGGTGACCAGATCACGATTTAGTACTGGACTACAGTCGCACTGGCTTTTGACCCGAGTAATGTTGGGAGATGTGAAGTTCTTCGTCAGAGTACAGAAGCTTAAAATGGCTTGACTTGAAATGAGATATATTTATGCAATTTTTGACTTCTTGTCAGGATAATACCATTTTTCCGATTTAAGGCACAATACCTTGTATTGATACACACTTTCTCAGACTTAGAAACATTTCTATATCCTCAAAATTATTGTTTTAAAAATCGTTTAGTTACGAGTTATCGAGCCCCAACAAACAATAACATCCACTGTTGCTTATTTATTTGGGTACTTATAATAAATCACGTATTCATAACCACTCAAGCTGTATTGTTATAATATATTAAAGATTAACAAAGAAATGTGTTTTCGATTAGTTTATATCTCTAGGAATTGTTTCCATCACTTTATGTCATTATTGTGCTTAATAGCATTTCAATAATCGTTTTGGGAGCCCAAATTTCTACGTTCACGACGTTCGTCATCATAAATGCGGCTGAAGACACCTGAACACCGATTACCACGACTGCGCAATGCTGACTAGTGTTGGAAACAGTTGGAAGAAAGTTAGGGGCGGCCAAACCTAAACGTGGCATCAGTGCTTGAAGTCACTAACTTCTAATCTGAGCCATATTGATAGATGGAGACTACTTGGTTAGATTCCGCGTGACTATCGTAACCAATGGTTGGGACTCTGAGTGACATGGCTCAGAATCGATCACAATGGTGTCGGTGAATACACTCTTTGTCTTCCCTTACACTATGAAATTAAAATCGCTTCATATCTTTCTTTCTACCAACAAATTCTTTCTTCTTGTACTACACTTTTATATGCAATCTTTCTTCTATATATTACCGCCATTGAAGTAACTACGTCTATGAATCCGGTGTTCGTGCTGTTGTGCTAATGAGGTATGGCAACTTGGACCGATGCATATATGTGCCTGGTCCTGTGTTGTGACTGACTGACTGACTGAAAGACATATATCTCCTATTTGGCATGTTAGAATTTCAATGAGACAATCGTTGCTGTAATTTCAAGGATATTATAAATACATCCATATCCAATAATTGCTCATTTATCTCAATAGTATTTAGTTCTTTAAGTATTTTGAATAGGATTTGTTCTTATTTTTAAGGCTGCCAGTAAGACAAGAAAGGATTATCTGTGTTTGTAGTTCAATGTACTGAAGATAAGAGTAATTCATCACCATACAGTTCTTATAGTAATGTCCGTTCGGAATTTTTGTAGTTTAATTGCATTTTAATTGCCCCCAAATACTGTGGTACGGCTGAGAGTGGGGAGAGTCAGCTTTCCCTCTCTAAATGCTCTCACATGGCCACGTGCATACAACCACTGCCACAGAAGTTCTACTCATTGCCTTCTCGCAACAGCGGCGTTTTTTACGAAATTGAGAAGACCAAAAGCGAACTTCCGGCTCTTTAACCGGTTCTGAGGATCCACCTAGGAGAGTTCGAAACCCCCGATTCAAAACCAATAATGCACATGGGCTGACTCCAGGATCCTGAGAGAACAAATGTTGTTAGTCACCGAATACCATGGGACTGCATCTGCTTACGTCGCTCCACTACCTTGTGGATTAGACCTTTAGGTCAAAGGCTCAGGGTGTGGCCTCTAAGTGAACCACCTGTTTCTGTTTAGGCACCCGGGAGGTATCCCAACACTCAAATGATTTGTATGGTGCATATCTATTTGATGCCTCCTTGTACCAATGTTTTATGTGTTTAAATAAATGAGTTTAGTTGCAGTTTTATTGCAAATATAGTGAATCATGTTTTTTCCCCGTATGCTACCACTGAAGTAAATCCCCATCTTTTTTCTCTTCTTCTTCTTTGAAAATCAACTGTTTTTTTGTTTAGCCAAATCGTTTCTATTTCAATATTGAAACTTGTGGATCATTACAACCAAGAGCAATTATATTCTCTGGTTTAACTGTATTAAAAAGAAAATTACAAAATCTTTTAGATAATTTAACACAGGAAGGCCTTTAAAAATTATTTTAATTAAGAAATTTTTGTAAATATTTAAAATTAAAACTTTATATGTAAATAATGTTCAAGTTTCATTGTTATTTGTCTATTACTTACGTCTGTTACTCCTCATGAAGGAACATAGGCCGCTTATCAGCATTCTCCAACCAACCTTGTCCTGGGCAATCCTTTCCAGCTCCTCCCAGTTGTTATTCATCTTTTTCATATCTACTTCCATTTCCCGACGTAATGTGTTATTTGGCCTTCCTCTTTTCCGCTTCCCTTCAGGGTTCCAAGTGAGGGTTTGTCTCATGAAGCAGTTTGATGATTTGCATAATGTATTTCCTATCCATTTCCATCGTCTTTTCCTAATTTCCTCTTCAGCTGGAAGCTGGTTTGTTCTCTCCCACAGAAGGCTGTTGCTGATGGTATGCGGCCAATGGATTTTGAGTATATTGTATAGACAACTATTTATAAATACTTGTACCTTCTTGATGATTGTTGTTGTAGTTCTCCAAGTTTCAGCTCCGCATAGTAGAACTGCCTTGACGTTCGTATTGAAGATTCTCACTTTGATATTGGTTGACAGACAGTTGTTTTGAGTTCCATATGTTCTTCAATGGTAGGAATGCGGCCCTTGCATCTGAACCTCCTTATTCATCGAGGAGGAGGATTATACATCTTTCAGAGTTTCGCCATTAAGAGTGATTGGACTGTTGTTGTCCGTTTTGAATTTGAGGACATTGGTTTTCCCCTTTTGTATGTTGAGGCCTACTGATGCAGAGACTGCTGTTACACTGGCTATCTTTATCTGCATTTGTTCGTGTGTATGAGATAGGAGGGCTAGGTATTTCTCTATTAGTTACTATGTTACAAGTTCAAACCCGATTTTATTTAATTGGGCCTTTAAATGGTTAATATTTTTTTGCTACTAATGTAAGTAATATCTCCTGATTGCTGAATTCTATTATAGTGGCTTAGTTTTGTTAATCAATCAGTCACCTTGTTAACCATTATTTTATAAATCTCAACGGTGTTCGAAAGGCAAGAAAAAGCGGTGTCTACATTTTATTGGCGGATTACACGATAACAAAGTTACAAGTACATCGAGCGAATTCGGAGCAGAGAGGCTAATATGGTGTGGGCGAGCAAATACAAAGGTGAACTTATAGCGAAATAGAATCAATGCCCAGCAAATGTTATTAATAGGATTCGAGCATGTATATATATACATGGGAAAGAGAATGATTTATCGAGCGATATGTAAGGGATCAACATTTAAAGTAGGCTGTCACATGTGACCAAGTATACACGTTTATGTAGACATGATGGTGATGATAAAAATACAAAGAAATAGACGAATTGCTACTGTCCGACTAAAGTTGTCTGTTAAATAAGCTTAATAAAAGGGCTTGACAGAAATCAACCCTAATCCAAATAAATCATAGGTGTGTTGCTATGTCTTAACTATCCCAGTAAACAAAGATATATACAAAAAGTCGTTGTGTTTGCAAAATACATAATAAACTGAATAGAATAATTACAATTGTTAGAAGATATCGGTTTACACAGAATTGAGATAAAGCTAGTGTGTATACTAACATTAGTGATGTATATCTGAGTTTGCGCACGTCCATGAATCCAAATAAGATAATGATAAAGAGTATGGTATCGTTTTTCAGAGATTACATACAGGCTTAAAGGTATACACATAGTATGTCGAGTTTTATAATACATAACATAAGCTTAATAATGCGTGCGTACATAATGAAGAGGAAGAAGAATAATTTATATTCAGAATAGTGAAAAATTGTTAATTGAAAACTGTGGCTATATACAGATGCGGCCATTTGACTCTTTGACCGTATTTCGTCGTTATTGTAATCTCTTCATTTGCGTCGTTGATGTTTGAAACTCATGTTTCGGTGATGCAACTGTCTTTGAAGGATTTGTGCTTTTCGGTTGATGATCATTTTTGATGAAAGTTGGTTTAACTCGATCGATGTCAATTGAATCTGTCTTTCTAGCTTTTTCTACAGTAACTGTTTTATCTGTACTCTTAATCACTTTAAGAGGACCGTCATAATTTGGCTGCAAAGGTGGTTTTACATTATCTAGGAAGTGTCGTTGTTAAACCGTTCATGTGCTACTTTAGGCGCTGTACGTTGTTGTCTACATCAGTAGGAACACTTACCTGAAGCAAAAAATTCTTCAGGTAAACGTAGAGTACCTCCATATACCAGCTCTGCTGGACAACATCCAATATCCCGTTTACTTGTTCTTAAACCCAACATGACTAGGGAAAGTTTATTAGTTCAATCGTTGTTGACAATGACAATAGTAAGAAACGCTTTCAATTGCCTATTTAGACGTTCAGCCATTCCGTTTGCCATCGGATGGTAAGATGTCGTGCGAATAAGTTCAATTCGGAGGAATTCTGTAAGCTATTGGAGGAAGAAACTTTCGAATTGAGCTCTTTTATCAGTTGTGATAATCGCTGGCTAAAGACTCGTCTGAGGTGTACTGCTACAGGCGATTGCGTGGATCTATCGGTGCATGTAAAATTATATCTGTAGCCATTCGAAATCGGCAGTAATCCCACGATATCGATGTGTATATGTTTGAATCTAGTGTCTAGGGGAGAGAAAAACCCACTTCAGAGCTAGTATGACGATGTACTCTGACTTTTTCAAAATTCATGCATGCTTGTGTCCCAACTCACGTTTGTCCATATGAAGCGTTCGCTGATTAGCTTCACAGTGGCGTTTATTCCCAGATGCGATATATTGTGCATAATTTCGGATACCTTTTGTAACAGTGGTTTCGGGATGAACAGTCGCGGTCCGTCTGTTGACATATTGCATGTTACTTTTACGCTATTGAGTTGAACATCTTCAAGTATTAATAATGTATCATCGCATCTTAGCTTGCTTAATTCAATGGCTTAGCACGGGAACAAGGTCATATAAGTCGGTATGCTGATTGTCAATTTTATCACCTAATAATTGATAGAGGCGAAAATCATAACCAGTTGGATGGTTTTCATCTAGACGAGTTATAACGTCTCATGATGAAAGCCGAGTTCCTTCGGAAGTCATGAGGCTGATGCTTCTTCTGAACGAATAAGTTTGGAAATGAAATAATCTATCTGCAAATAAATCTTTTCTATGAAATATGGAATAAATCTTCGATATTCGTTACTTTCATAATATATTATTACTGTGTTGTGTGCCACTTATATTGACTTAAGTAGTATATAATTCGGTTGTCCTCACCTTAGTTCTCTTTCACTACACTACACTACACTACAACAACAACGACTACTACTACAGTATAAATTATTAACTTCTACAATTATTCGGTGCTTAAACATGTTTTAGAAACAGGGATCTGAAGAAGCCAATGAAGTTTCAGATCTGATGATCGATGTATTGACCAAATGTTTACTCTTTTAATCAATAAATTATCGGTTGGAAATAGACTGCTCCTTAAAATAATCCATTGATCAATAATAGATATGATTTTTGTCAGTTTCGTGCCCGAGCGCTCAACCACTATGCCGGGATTCAATGGTGTTAATGTCTAAC